ACAAATGAAGGATTGGCCCACAGCCAATCAGAGGCTGAAGGGGAGTTACACCCTACACAAATGAAGGATTGGCCCACAGCCAATCAGAGGCTGAAGGGGAGTTACACCCTATACAAATAAAGGATTGGCCCACAGTCAATCAGAGGCTGAAGGGGAGTTACACCCTATGCAAATGAAGGATTGGCCCACAGCCAATCAGAAGCTGAAGGGGAGTTACTCCCCATACGAATGAAGGATTGGCCCACAGCCAATCAGAGGCTGAAGTGGAAGCTTGACCTGCAACTAATCAGAGGCTGAAGTGAAGGACTGGCCCATGACCAATCAGAGACTGAAGTTTTCCTTTTGGTTTAATTCTAAGAAGTCAGCCGCGGGTTCACCTTAGGCTCCCAGTCTCTAGACTCAGTTTTCCTGCCTCGCCACTATGATCATTCTGCACTGAGGGCTTTCTAGAATCAGGTACCATGTGAGGGCTTTGTAAACATGGTACCATTTAGTCTTCACAATAATTCTAGTTAAAGTGCCTTACAGACCGGAAGCCCTCTGACTTCACAGGTGATGTCTATGCCACTCAGATCTTCTGTGCCCTGCATGGTGCCTCATGGGGGACAGGCACACTACATGTTTCATGGAAAAATATTCACTGAATGCTTAAAGCCAGCCAGCTGGTAAGGTTGGGCTGGAAGTAAAGGCTAGGGTTAAGCCTCCTTCCTGCCAAACCTTAAGATACAAATGAAGCAAATGAACAAAGAGCATCACCTAGATAAGAGAATACCAGCCCACGTCAGAATCCTGACCCGAAGTATTCTGGTGTATTTCACAGAGCCTACCCACTCCTGTCTGGACAAAGCCATGGTCTTCACTCCAGCCTGACATTGTGCTGGAGAGAGTGGAAAAGATGCAGAGACAAAAGGTTCGTGCTAGATTGCTCACTCCTTCCACGCTCACTCCAACTAAGCTCTTTCATAAAGAACAAAATGTCCTACTCTCTATCTTCATGTTTTTCAGCTGTTGAGAAAATTGTTTCCACATCACTGAAGCAGCTGCCGATAAATATAGAAAGCTGGTGATTGGCACTGGAATTATTGCCAACGTCAGAAATAGGTGAATATGCAGTGGCATCGAGGAAATAAAACCCATGAGCAACTCTCCAGTGTCCTACTCAGGAAAAATAATGACCTAATGTGGAAAAAAAAAAAAAGAGAGAGA